AAAAGTAACTGTGTCAATTCCCATTTTGAATTTGATTCCCCAAAATTTAATCCCACCCCTCTCCCGAACACCCTAGCATTTACTTCCTTTACAACCCCATCTATAAATATATTAAACAACCATGGTGACATTACACATCCCTGTCTAAGACCTACTTTTACCAGGAAGTAGTCTCCCTCTCTTCTACACACCCTAACTTGAGCCTCACTATCCTCATAAAAACTCTTTACAGCATTTAGTAACTTACCACCTATTCCATATACTTGCAACATCTGCCACATTGCTCCTCTATCCACTCTATCATATGCCTTTTCTACATCCATAAATGCAATAAAAACTTCCCTACCTTTATCTAAATACTGTTCACATATATGCTTCAATGTAAACACTTGATCTACACATCCCCTACCCACTCTGAAACCTCCTTGCTCATCCACAATCCTACATTCTGTCTTACCTCTAATTCTTTCAATTATAACCCTACCATACACTTTTCCTGGTATACTCAGTAAACTTATTCCTCTATATTTTTTACAATCTCTTTTGTCCCCTTTCCCTTTATATAAAGGGACTATACATGCTCTCTGCCAATCCCTAGGTACCTTCCCCTCTCTCATAGATTTATTAAACAAAAGTACCAACCACTCCAACACTATATCCCCCCCCTGCTTTTAACATTTCTGTCATGATCCCATCAGTTCCAGCTGCTTTACCCCCTTCCTTCATTCTACGTAATGCCTCACGTACCTCCCCCACACTTACATTCTGCTCTTCTTCACTCCTAAAAGATGGTATACCTCCATGCCAGTGCATAAATTACCATCCTTCCTTTCTTCCTAACATTTAAAAGTTCCCAAATTTCTCACCATCTACCTAATACCTCCATCACCCCATTACTAAACTCCCCTCTGTTTTTATGACAAATCCATACTTTCCCCTAGGCTTTCTTAACTTTTTTTAACCCCAAAAAATTTTTTCTTATTTTCATTAAAAATTTTTTGACAGTGCCTCTACACTCTACATCTGCCTCCTTTTTGCACTTCCATCACCACTCTTCACCTTTTTACTCTCCATATACTCTATTCTCTTATAACACTTCTGCTTTGTAAAACCCTCTCAAAGCTACCTTTTTCTACTTAAGTCCACCTTCTTCTTACCTCTAATTCTTTTCATTAAAACCCCACCAACACTTTGCCCCTTGTATACTCATAAACTTATTCCCCCTCACTATTTTTTTGCACTAATCCTCTTTGTCTGCCATATTCTTATTTTAAAACTATCCCATGTTTCACTCCCAAATCCCTTTAGGCCACCTTCCTCCCCTCTCCTCATTAACTGTAGCTAAACAAAATAACATCCAATATAGTGCCCCCTCTTAACATTTCTGTCATGAGTTACCCATAAATTTTCCACCTGCTTTAACAAACTACTTTCATTACGTAAGCCTCATACCTTGCCATATTTACATTATCTCTCTTTTCATAAAATATGAAATTACCATATTACCAAATTTCTTTCTACACATAGCTCAATTAAAGGCTCCCCATTTACATTTACCCCTGGCACCCCAAATTTACCTATATACTCCCTCTATAACTTTTTTAAACCCACTTTAGCATTGAAATCCCCAACCACCATTACTCCTCACACTTGATTCAAAACCCCCCACACATTCACTCAACATTTCCCAGAATCTCTCTCTCTCTTCTACACTTCTCTCTTCTCCAGGTGCATACACGCTTACTATAACCCACTTTTCACATCCCCAAACTTTATTTACTCCACATAATCCTTGAATTAATACATTTATAGTCCCTCTTTTCCTGCCATAGCTTATCCTTCAACATTATTGCTACTCCTTCTTTAGCTCTAACTCTGTTTGAAACCCCTGACCTAATCCCATTTATTCCTCTCCATTGAAACTCTCCCACCCCTTCAGCTTTTTTTTCACTTAAAGCCAGGACATCCAGCTTCTTCTCATTCATAACATCCACAATCATCTCTTTCTTATCATTTGCTCAACATCCATGCACATTTAGACTTCCCACTTTGACAATTTTCTTCTTCTTATTCTTTTTAGTAATCTTTACAGGAAAACGGGTTACTAGCCCATTGTTCCCGGCATTTTAGTTGACTTTTACAACACGCATGGCTTACGGAGGAAAGATTCTTATTCCACTTCCCCATGGATATAAAAGGAAAAGTAATAAGACCAAGAACTATTAAGATAAAATCAAAGAAAACTCAGATGAGTGTATAAATAAACGTGTACATGTATGTGTAGTGTAACCTAAGTGTAAGTAGAAGTAGCAAGACATACCTGTAATCATGTATATTTATCAGACACACAAAAGACACCAGCAATCGTAACATCATGTAAAACAATTACAGGCTTTCGTTTTACACTCACTTGGCAGGACGGTAGTACCTCCCTGGGTGGTTGCTGTCTACCAACCTACTACCTACAAGTAATATTGTAATGCTAGTACCGATAAACATATTTTGATGTTAATAAATGCCGAAATGCAGTATTTAAGCATAATTTGGTAGGCTTAGCTTTATGCAGTATTTGCATTCCTGACTGATGGCACATGAAGTAAATCCATTATAACTTGTGAAAGATCAGGACTTATTCTTAGACTTTTTGCAAATTCCACATTACTAATGTGTATCAACAAAATATGAGTTTTCCTCTTGTGCTCCAATTGGTCATATACAAAAAATCCAGAATTCATTCATAACTCTGTGCAGTACAAAATTGGAAAAAAAAATCACATAACTATTTTACTTATTTTTACCCAAAAAAATATGAGCATACACCAGATAGGCATCAAATGGTGAGACACCAAAAATAAATGTAATTGATCAAAAAACAATTGGAAAAAAAAAACTAAAAATTCAATTATAATTCTTCCTTTTACTCTCTCATCTTTTCACTACCAACCAACCAGTCTTAGTGTACATTGAAGTGCACATGATATGAACCTGTGAATACATAGCTGTACAGTGGACCCCCGGTTTACGATCAGCTCCCAATGCGACCAATTATGTAAGTGTATTTATGTAAGTGCGTTTGTATGTGTATGTTTGGGGGTCTGAAATGGACTAATCTAATTCACAATACAGTGGACCCCCGGTTAACGATATTTTTTCATTCCAGAAGTATGTTCAGGTGCCAGTACTGACCGAATTTGTTCCCATAAGGAATATTGTGAAGTAGATTAGTCCATTTCAGACCCCCAAACATACACGTACAAACGCACTTACATAAATACACTTACATAATTGGTCGCATTGGGAGGTGATCGTTATGCGGGGGTCCACTGTATTCCTTATGGGAATAAATTCGGTCAGTACTGGCACCTGAACATACTTCTGGAATGAAATAATATCGTAAACCGGGGGTCCACTGTACTACCCTTTCCTCCCTCCCTCCCTCCACCCTTAGTCCCAACTTTATGCTGGAGCAACCTAACTTGGTCAGGCTGGGTGTCATTCAACCTAACTTGGTCAGGCTGGGTGTCATTCAACCTAACTTGGTCAGGCTGGGTGTCATTCAACCTAACTTGGTCAGGCTGGGTGTCATTCAACCTAACTTGGTCAGGCTGGGTGTCATTCAACCTAACTTGGTCAGGCTGGGTGTCATTCAACCTAACTTGGTCAGGCTGGGTGTCATTCAACCTAACTTGATCAGGCTGGGTGTCATTCAACCTAACCTGGACTTGGTGTGAGGCACTGGAGTTGAAAATCAACCATAGTGTTTTGCTCAAAATAGCCCATTGAGTTTATTACATCAAAATCTGTTTTCTTATGAAGTCTTTCATACAAATGTTAACATGAACTATTTTAAATTGATATCTGAAGATATAGTGTTAAAAAAACTGTTGGTGCCGGGATTGGGTGATTGTACATGAAGGAAAAGCAAGCAATCACACACACACACACACACACACACACACACACACACACACACACACACACACACACACACACACGCACACATGCGCACACACACGCGCACACACGCGCGCACACAACACGCGCACGCCACACACACACACACACCACACACACACACACACACACACACACACACACACACACACACACACACACACACACACACACACACACACACACACACAGGCTTCATTCCCAAAAGAATGACTTTTTACCACATATAGTGAATTCTTGGTTGAAACAGGACTGCTGTATGTAAGTGAATTCACACATAGAAAAAATGCATTCGTATTCTATATTTCTGTACCTGTATTTCTCTCTTTAACACACCGACCATCTCCTACAGAAGCATTGTGACCTGAAAAAGACGAAATGCTTTCATAAAGTTTCTTTTTCATATAGTAATTATAGTCTCTTGCTCCTGGCATTCTAGTCGCCTCAGACATGCATGGCTTACGGAGAAAGCATTCTTCTCCACTTCCCCATGTACCTGTGTATAGAATATAAATTTATTAAGAACATACAAACTTACAGATGAGCCGTTTGTAACAAAACTTGTCTTTTGTTTAAGGATTGTAGCACAAAGCATGATTAGTGAAAGTCGTCAGTCAGATGACCAGAAGCTCCAGCTGCAGGTCATCATATGACTAAGACCTCCCTCAGGAAACACTTGTCCTGTTTCTTGACACCCCTTACTTAACCTAAAAGATGATTGTTTTATGCATGTTCATAACTGTGGATTGGCGTTGCATCTGCTTATTGAGGAGAACACCAATCCTTCAAAACATTCTTGTTTTCAGAATCTTTCATCACATTCTTATTTTCCAGAGTTTTTAAATATTTTCTTCTCTTCTAGTCTTTCAACACATTCTTGTCTTCTAAATGGATGAAAGTGGTAATTGCAATTTGTATTTCATTAAATTTTAACATGTTTCCAAAGTGGGTTGAATTAATCTCTGAATTAATTTTAATAAAATACAAACTACTGTTGTACGTAACCACAAAGACAGTAGTTTATATTTAATTTACTTTTTTTACAGTGTAATAATCCTATGACTAAAGAAGCCAAATTAGATGCTGCCCAGAGAATTATTGAAGAATGGACTACTTACGATAATGATATTAAAGCTGTGATGCAAGGAATTAAACAAAATAAATCAATACACTCGCAAGGTAAATATTTTTCTCATCTTTCACTTGTTTCCTAATATATTTTGTCTTTTAATTTTTAGGTGTATGGACACAGATGCAACTAATGTAACATTAATGTTACATTAGTAATTCTACCATTATTACTTTTAATTTTTAGCTAGACTTGGAGATAGGAAGTAGCGTGTATAACTGAACAGTACTTAGATAAGGTAAGAACAATGTTTGTTGCATTCATGGGCTTAGAAAAGACACATGGTAGGGGAGCCATATAGCAGATGTATGGAATAGGAAGGAGGCTACTGAAAGTAGTTGAAGTTAAGTAGAAGAGGAGGAGGGAATTATTTGCCAGTGAATGTAGGACTAAAACAAGTATGTATAATGTCACTGTGGTTAAGCAACATATTTATAGAGGAAATTGTAAAAAAAGGGATGATGGGGTATTGAGAAGAAGTGCAAGGTTAAAAGATGTTGGATCTTGCACAAAGTGGGAGTTGTCACAGTTTCTCTTTGCTGATGACACTTCTTTTGGGAGATTCTCAAAACAAGTTGTGAAGGTTGCTTGACGAACTTGGTAGGTATGTAAATGAAGTAAATTTAAAGTGAAAATAAAAAAGAGCAAGGTGATGAGGGTAATAAAAATATAAGCAATAATGGAATGAATATCAGATTGGAGGTGGGGAAAGTGAGTTTATTTAGATATTTGGGAGTGAACATGTAAGCAACCGAGTCTGAAAGACAAAATAAACCTTAGAATAAATTACTAGGAAGAAGGTGTGTGGTGTGTTAAGGCATCTGTGGAAAGAAAGTTTATCTATGAAGGCAAAAAAAAAAAACAAGTGAATTACCAGAGTACAGTAGTACTAACAATTTTTTATGGGTATTAGGCATGGGTTTTGAATGTTGCAGGGAGGAGGAGGCTGAAGGTACTGGAGATATCATGTTTGAGAGCAATGTGTGGTGTGAGTATTATGCAGAGAATTCAGTGCATAGAAATTAAAGGCAGTGTGGGGTCACCAAGGGTATAATTGAAGGGTGCCAAGGAGATCGTCAAAGGCAAGAAAATAAATAAAGGATAGAAAAGTTGAATTAATAATAACTTGAGATTCTTGTCTTGAAACTGACAAATTATTTATGTAAGCAACCTACCTATATTAAAGAAAAAGTATGCAGATCAAGTGTCTTTTTCTGACATTGTTTCTCTTTGTTTAGCTTTATCTTGTCATGTCTAGGTTAAACTCTCTCTACCATACTTGTTGGTACCAGTTGTCAAGTCAAAGCATACCTTCATGATGGTAGGATGTGAGTATCAGCTTGTTAACATTATTGTATTAGAAAACAAGACTGTGACCCTGGTTCGCCCTCATTAAATTATTGCCGTCTTGTTATTGTTCCTTTATGATTTTAATAATATTTTCCTTTTATGTACCTCTCCAAATGCTTTGAATTCTCATAATTTATGTGTTTTTATATTTTAATTTATTTGTTTTTCATTTTTCCAGAATCAACTAGTCATAAACAACACACAGAACTATGATACTTAGGATGGGGTATAATAGGTAATGTTTTGTAAGTCAAGTGTATGGAAGTGTTCTATTAAATATTTATTGAAGTGTTTTGTGTTCTCCGATCATTGTCAGTTTGCTTATACCTTTAATCTTTTTGACTGTGAATCATGGACATAGTAATGATGAGCTCAACATCTGATCTCTGGTGAACAATGCCTTAAAATTCTGTATATGTAAGTCCAAATTTAATAATAAAAAAATTATGATTTTTTAACTCTTTACAAGGGCTTATTATATTTTATATAAATACTCTCTAAGATGTTATAAGGCATTTTTTTTATTATCACAGTTTGACACACGTTAGTATAGTTATTTATCATAGTTAACATGTTGAGTTCTTACTTACTGTTGGCAGTGTCTGATATGTAATTACTGTTAGCAGTGTCTGATGTGTAATTACTGTTAGCAGTGTCTGATGTGTAATTACTGTTAGCAGTGTCAGATATGTAATTACTGTTGGCAGTGTCTGTTATGTAATTACTGCTGGCAGAGTCTGGTATGTAGTTACTGCTGGCAGTGTCTGATATGTAATTACTGCTGGCAGAGTCTGGTATGTAGTTACTGCTGGCAGTGTCTGATATGTAATTAGGTTATTTATTCATTGTGTAGATCATTGCTGAAATGTACACCTAATCAATTAAAAGTTTTATGTATTTAGACATCACTTTTCTGTATGTATACATTCCAATTTGTGTATTTCTGCAATACTATACACAGTAAACATCTAAATCACTATACATATTAAACATCTGAATCACTATACACATTAAACATCTGAATCACTATACACATTAAACATCTGAATCAAGTTGTGAAAATTTAAGAACATGCAAGTTTTTTTTAAATATATACAATAAGCATTTTGTAATTTTATTTATACTTTAAGTTTAAAGTGTTTGCTCCCCAGTGTATCATTCAAGGATGACTTTCATTTTCTACAAACGTTACTTTGTCACATAAGTTTTTCCAGCATTAGAGCAAAAGTTTCAACAAGAACAGATATTCTTTACACGTAACACACAAGTTGGAGGTGACTTCTGTATTTAGGTGATGTTTTAGTCTGTCTTCATCTGTTATCCAGTTATGAGTAAGAGAAAGAGGAAGAGAAGCAGGGACGTAAGGTTATGAGATGAGGAGACGGTTAAGTTCAGGTCAGGAGAGGTGAAGAGACAACTAAGGTGAGGTCAGGACATATGAAGAAACAAATAAGATTACAAGTCACAAGTGTTCTGAAGCATATTACACTGTACTGGGAGAAACAAGGAGCAACAGAAACCAGATTATGAGAGATTCATGTCAGGAATGTTGTGCATAAGCACTGGTTCAATAAGGTGGTATAAGTAGGGATCTCTACCATAATCTGCATTCACAGCATTTCAGTGAATAACATTAATTTTTGTATCATTACTTTAGTGATATGTAACATGTGAAGGCTACTCAGCCCTGTAACAACTTCAGTCAGTATTACCAAGGCTGGCTCCTCCTCAGGAAAATAATGAATAGAAAAAGAAATAATAACAGACAATGATAAACACTTTATTATTTAGAAACGGAAAATGTAAAACAATAAAACATGAATGGGTATCCTAATTGAAAGAAAAATGAAAAATGAAATGAAAAAAATTACATTTGAACTCAACGCTAATATCGGTATATCGTGGTAATGGGGTGTCAGGTGTTGGTGACACTGCGTGTTGTTGAAATCGTAGCCGTTGCTGATGTGGGGGGGGTTGCAGGTGTTGGTGACCACCACCGGCTCGTTCTTCACAGAGTGTAGCCGTGAATAATTGCTTCAGATGACAGGAAAACAGGTTCGTTACCACTGCTATGATGAGGGGTTAGGTCCTGTGTTGGCTTACATAACAGGTAAGTAGATTAAACATGGGATGTCTCAGGACGTTAGTCTGTCTCCATCTATTCTTCTCGTTGGTTGGCAGGTGACCCATTCTGTCATTCCAATCTGTAAAGTGAGACAGGTTATCCACTGCTTAAGAAATCACTCTCCATGATAAGTACAATACCTAAAAGATGTGGCGATCAAGACTGAAAGGACTAAGTTAATTATTGGTCAAAAGTGAAGCTTTCAACCAATAAGTCCACTAAAATATGATCAGGCGTGTACTTACAGTAGTGTTGGGAGGTGTGAGTCGAGTGATTTACTGTTTGACCGGAGCCCCACACGTCACCTTTCGGGGGGGGGGGGGAAGAGGGAGGGGAAGGGATAGCGGGAGCTAGACTGACCCTACCTTAACAAGCAGCCGGTAATCAAACTATCACTTTTGGGGAGGGGGAAAAAGGGGGGGGGGAATAGCGGGAGCTGGACTTACCCTACCTTAACAAGTAGCCGGCAATGAAACTATTGTTACTATACACTCCCTCGCTACTCCTATCTATTGAACTTTTCCCTCACACTCCCCCATACCAAGACTTATAGTCAAGGAGTATAAGAAGAATAGGCGAGGAAAAAGTTCTAACACGTGGAAGTCGCGTAAGGCAACAAATCTTCTACTGACTGTCACGACTTAACCAGTCAGAGAAATAATTGGATGAACCATTGATATACACAATATGGAACTTAAAAGCCTGGAGTGCCAATGTCCACCTCAAGAGGCGACTGTTGGTTCCCTTAAAAGTTTCTAGGTATATCAAAGGTTTGTGATCTGTCTCTAAAATGAATTCTTTTCCCAGCAAATAAAATTTAAGCTTGGAGATACCCCACACAAGAGCCAAACATTCCTTTTCTATGGTGGAGTATCTCGTTTCTGCAGGAGGGAAGTTTTAGATTTAATAAATGTACAGGATTTAGGAGTGTGTGTATTTTGTGCAGTAAGCACCTGACACCTATTGCAAGAACTATACTTCTTTGTAACCTGTAAGTACATGCTTGGCCAAAAATAAGTGTGCTTGAGTTTATGCTACGTCTTACGATGGGCCAAGTGTTTGGTCACTGGCAAATCATGAGCCATTTGAAGAACAGTCTCTCGACATGGTTTAGGAACAACAAGGAGGGAATAATCTATCACTGAAGAATGAGATTTAAATACAGATTTATATAAGATACCATTAATATATTCAAACTTATGAGATACGTATCTCCTGTGGATAACTTTGTTGTTAAAAGCTTGATTATGACAATCCCGAAGTGAAGGGCAATTGCGCTGTATATTGACAAAGTCATCCTTGGACATAAAATATGGGAAAATAAAAGGGCTTATGGTGGGAGAAGAGGAGGTAGGAGAAGCCGGGGTTATGGTCCGAGTCCTAGTCAAGACATTGAGAGTGCCGGAGGCAATACCCTTACTTTCACCCGACGAGTGGACAGGTGATCCTGCTACCTCACTATCGAGAGCAGTATCATCTGTTTCCACCCCCAAATGAACAGCACGAGACAATGCAGCTTCCGGTGCAGAATGGTTAAGGTGATTATTTAACTTGCAAGGAAGAAGAGCTGGAAAACTTAGATCCACGGGTGGTGACGAAAGATCCACCTCTGAAGGAAGAATGGCACCTTTTATGTTACCCACTATTATAGAACAAGTAATTGGGGCTAGTACCGCATTAGTCCAACCGGTGAACCATTTAGTTTTCAAATAACAACAAATTGTAGGGAAAGTATTTTCACGACCCAAGTAATCTGAAAGAATAGATGACACATGAGAGGTTTTAAAGTAAGGGAACAGTTTGTCCGAAGTTACGATGCACGTACATCCAGTGTCATGTAATATGTCTGAGACTTTTATACCATTAACTGCTCCTGAACAGAAGGGTGCTTGGTCATTACCGTCAACAAAACATCTTCCAACTTTCTCTATTTTCTTGGAAGGACAGTCTGGACTTTTATGTCCGATACCACCACACCGATGACATGTTGGTATAATAGCTGGTGACTTTTTTTCTACTGTAGGCTTCTTAATCTTTGGTTCAGGTGAACCATTGCCCTTGGGGATCGATCCCTTTAGGTCTTTATAGGAATTGTGAGCCTCAGCATACAAGTCAGCAGCCTCAGCAACTTCCTCAGCTTTAATCAGGTTACACTTTCTAATGAATGTTCGTATCTGGGAAGGAAGAGCTGTCAGGAACTGGTCAGCAACCATGAAGTCTCTAAGAGATTCATAACTGTGATCAATTCCTGAACTCTCTATCCAAAAGTCGAACAAACGAAAGAGTGTTACTTGTAACTGCTGAAAGTTTTGGCCATGCTGTAAGGTGGCATACCTGAAATCTTTCCTGTAAGAATTTGTGGTTTTTTGATATGCTTTAAGGATTGCCTTCTTCATTAGATTATAATTACATATGATATCCTGCGACAAAGTTGCATAGATATTCAAAGCTGTACCAGAAAATAACATTCCTAACCTGGTAGCCCAGGTGTCAGCAGGCCATTCACAGAGGGTAGCAGTATTTTCGAACCTGATAATGTATGAGTTATGTCGTCCCCCTCTGTGAAGGGAGGTAAATTAGGTGTTGGAATATGTGCACTGACTGCACGTTGTTCCATTACTCCTTCCTCTAATTGTTTTTGTGTAAAAGTTAACTTTTTATTCTTTAATTCAAGGCGAGATTTTTCGAGCTTGCGATCCTTTTCTCTCTCTATTAACTCATGTTCTCTATCCTTTGCTCTTTCCTCAAGTTCTCTTAATTTAACTTGTTCCTCATGTATTTTAGCTTGTTCCTCATGTTCTCTAGCTCTTTCCTCACGATCAAGTCTATCACGCTCTTTTTGGTCTTCTCGCTCTCTAACTGTCTTTCTTGGCTTTCTCTTTCAATTCTCTCTCTCTCCTTTTCCTCTTGTCTTTCCCTTTCTAACTGTCTCTCTTCTCTCTCAGTTCTCTCTCTTTCAATTCTTTCCTGGATCTTAGCACTAATGAAAGATTCAAAATTTTTCCCTGTTATTCCTAACTTACTTCCAGCGTTCATCCAAAACTGGTATTCCTCCATGCTTGCAAGAACAACTTAAACTATCAGGGGAAATGAAATAGGTATTAACCCTTTCAGGGTCCAAGGTCCAAATCTGAAGTGGTGCCCCAGTGTCCAAGAATTTTCAAAAAAAAATTTGTTATTTTTTCTTATGAAATCGTAGAGAATCTTTTTGTGAAGGTAATAAAACAAAAAGTACGAAATTTGGTGGAAAATTGACGAAATTATGCTCTCGCGAATTTTGATGTGTCAGCGATATTTACGAATCGGCGATTTTGCCGACTTTGACTCCCATTTTAGGCCAATTACATTATTCCAATCAACCAAATTCTTAGCTATTTCACTAGTATTACTTCTATTCTATCGATTGAGCACAAGAAATCGCCAAGTCAACTGTTTCAACTACAAAATAAAGTGATCGGAAATTGTTAATTTGGCCAATTTAACACAAAGTTCAAATATTCCAATTTCAAAATAGGCTCCAGAATAAACAATGTAGGTATTCCTGGAACTAAACTAACATTTCCTCTGTTCATTAGTTACATTTTGAGGCTTTACAAATAAATTCCATTTTGATTTTTTATTCACATAATGAATTTTTATTCACACCAAAAAATAGAAGATTTACTGTTATGCAATACTGTAATAATTGTATAAATATCATCACCATATTTGTGAATGTATATTAGACCCACCAGCTGACGTGTATTAGATGTGTGAGGTCGTTTGTTTACTCTTGAATATCGGCAAAATTTAACATTTCCGCTACTTTGAGCTCAGTTTCAAGCCATTTCCAGTGCTAAAACCAATCAAAATCATCTCTATTTCTGTAATATGTCTTCCATTCTATCAAATGAGACCAAGAAATCGCAAATACAACTATAAAAAACATACGAAAAAACACTGCAAAGTCGCTGTTTTAATCGAAAAATCATGATTTCAG